AATTTCATGAAGATAACTGCTGAATCTTGTTTTCTACTTACTGTTACCTGACAAGATAAAACTTTGCTTTGTCTTGTTACTTTGCAGATCCCACAATGTAGTAGAGGCAGGCAAAACGTCGAAGTCTTGCTCCTGTCAACCCTTCAACAAAAGTAGACTTTCAAATGCTGCATATGCTTAATCATTCTGACTTCAATGCCGTCTTTTTTTCTTCTTGCTGCATTGGTGAACCAGTGGGACATGGACTAATTATACTTTTCAGGGACAGTGGACAATGATTATGGATTGTTGGATATGTTCCACTGTTTCTAGGGGCTTCCACATAACTTGAATGTTTACTCTTGGCTCCAGCTTGCCAGGCTCTTCTCCTCTAAGCAGAGCATTTTGTTTAATAGAGTTTTGGTTATCAAAAGGAGGAGTATAGCAAGGCTTTTGGTGAATGAACAGAGCTTTTGAGTAGAGGCTTGTTTGTGCTGTTGTTGCAAAAAGAACAATGTTAATGTTAAATGGCTGAACCAGAGTATCCACAAGAAGATGGTACGATGTAGGAGTATTTCAGAAAGCCATAGAATTTTTAGGCCTGGTACCTTAATAGTAATGTTGTGTAAGTTTGTGGTGAGTTGGGATGCTTCTTCATGTACTATCGGTAAAAGCAAAGAAATGAGTAATTCTGTTAAAATGGAGCTTAAGATGTATCATGAAACTTGGACAGTAGCATTTTCTGAATCAGGTCTGCAAGTCTGATTTGTGTATGGAGTAGTTAGAGTAGAGAGGTGTCTTGAAATATGTGATCTTTAGGATATCAAATTCAAATTTCTCAAAGCATATATTCTTCTGAATTTTTACTTCTTTTGAAAATTACTTGTTTTTTTTCTCAAATAGTAAGTTTGTATTAGGAAACCAAGAAGAAAACTTCATGTTTAGTAGAGCAACTAGTTGCTTAAAGCTTGGTTTTGTGCAGATTTATATGCCCTTTACTGCCTTTTTGCACTTTTTTCCCCCATGTCCTGCAAGTAATGGTTGGGCAAGAATCAGCACATGCTGTGAATAACTGTGTTATAATTTGTTCAGGTGTCCTGCCTAGGCAGCTGTCAGGCCAGACAGAACATAGAACTGAAGCTCATGTTGAAGTATTGGCAACTAAAGTTGCCAATCTAACTTTTCTACACTTTCACCAATTTTTTTTTTTTTTTGTTACAATTAATCTTTTAGTATCTCAAGTGCTGTCAAATTCAGATAGTGGATTTAAAAGCTGTGATTGGTGGGGAATAATCAGGGTACCAAAGATGTAAATGCTGAGTGATCACTTCCCACCATACCTCAACAGCAATTTGTATGGCATAAATTTCCTTGATCTTTATCATAAGAGTAACTTTTAAATAGCTTTGAAATAAAAAAATGTGATGGCCTGATCAGTAAAAATATTCACATTTCTCACAGCAAACTTTTCTTTGCACAAGATTCAGTAGTTAGTGACTTACTTTAAGACTATGGAAAGATAACTATTTCAAAAAACAATTAAATGACAATGCGAGTTCTGTCTCTGACGACAATATTTTTAAATGTTAATTTCCAATTTTGATTTCATCCTATAGCATTGCACAGCACACTGCTATTTTCTTTTTTGTAGATAGCTGAAAATTGTGTATTATGGCTCGCTTGAAGCATAATCAATGCAGTATTGTGGATCCCTGTCAAGTCAGATGATAGTAACAAAAGTATAGCTAGAAAGAGCATACAGGTCACCAGCAAACAAGGAAAGACAACAGGCCTTTTATTGTGTTCTGAATGCTTGCTTGGAACGGCTGCTGATGTTCAAAGCATTGTGCGGTACTTCATACAGAAATAGACAAAACTGTGCCTTTTACTAGTTTCTTGTGTGATATTAAAGCTTTAAAATTTGGCTTTCTAAAGGACTTGTCTGTATTTAAGACTTCTAAGATATTGTACTTTCTCCGAGAACTCTTTAGGTAAAGAAACTTGTGAAATTTAATTTGCATCTCTGGTGCGGTAAAGTAAATGTTTTAACCTGTGTTTGTAGCTACTGCTGTCAAACTCTGTTAAAATAAGAACTTTTTGCTGAAGCATGTGTGACTAAGTCTGGGTTCTTTTGCTTGGTGGTTGTATGTTGCCCATTGGTAATACTGTTCTCTCTGCTACCAGTAACAGAGAGCCAATAAAGAGTGCCTGGCAGGTTTAATTAAATAAGTTGTAGTAGTGACTTCAGGCATATTTCAGTTGTTACTGCATTTGTGGTAAGTATTCAGAAGAAATTAGTTGCTCCAGGAAATGCTTTTGGAAGCCTGCTTTCTGAAGGTTTGCAAAAATTGCAATGCAATGTGAGAATTGAAGCCTTTAAGCAGCTTGCATCATTTTATACCAACAATGTGTTTGGACAGCACAGTCCTCCTTTGTGCCTGTTTGCATATTCATAGAACTGTTACCTACTGTAGCTGCATAGCTGGTGAATGATCTGAAGTCACACAGGGCCTTGTTTTTCTGATTCTCCTAGAAATCACCTGTAGTGGTCAAGGAAGGCTTGAGACTATGTGACATGGAGTTGGGGTTTTTTTTGTCTCACCAGGAAAAGGACTGGAAATGTTTGCTGTGTTGGTTTTTTTTGTTTTGTTTTTTTTGTTTTTTTTTGGCCCCCCCCCCCCCCCCCCCAAGCTTATGGACTTCAGGGTGAAGATGAAGCAGAAAACTGGGAGGGAGAAAGGTGAAAAACTGGATTGTGGTTTGACTGTTGCTGTGAGTTGATCTCAGTACAGGTTTCAGTGGTACTAGTGACATGGTAATTGTGACGAGTTTCTTTGATCTGACTTGTTTAGGGTGGTAGGAGAAGGGGGAGTAATTTAATGGCCTGATATGGGTGGGGGAGAGGACCCCCCACTAGCACATCTTAGGCTGGATGCAAACTGATCATCATGGTACAGCCCTGAGCGTTATTCTGGTAGGTACACGATCAAGTAACGGG